CATGGGGGGGGGGGAAGGGGTGTTTCTGGCCGCAATTTATGGCACTCTATCGTATACCATCTGCTCGGGTGTACGTATCTGGTATGTCGGCTCCTTTCGTCATTTCAAATGGGACGAGACAAGGATGTCCACTATCCCCGTCTATATTTGCCATGATGGAGGCCTTTGGCCGCCACTATAAGGGACAGTCCTCTCATATCGGGCATCTCTATGGGCAACTCAATCCATACCATAGGGTTATTTGCTGATGATATCATCCTGGCACTGACCAAACCAGTACAATCCTTACCTGCAGTGTCCAATATACTCTATTTGGGGATGTTTCTTATTATAAGGTCAATGTGGATAAATCCTATATTCTAAATCTGGGTGTGGAGGCGGCTCTTCAGGAACGACTGAAGCTACTTTTCCCATTTAAATGGTCCCCGGGCTTTATTACTTATCTTGGAAAAAAATTTGCCTTGCAGACTTTGGCAGACTCCTCTAAAAGCTGGTTTGTAATGGAACGCCACCTGGTTCCAGGATATCTTTCGGGGTGGCTATTTGCTACTTCCCTAAAGAGAGATCTAAAAGGTGCCCATACACTGTACGATCCTCGTACGAGAATTGCGGGAAATCCCGCGATCGTACGAGAATCGTACAGTGTATGGAAGGTGTGCGACCGTTTCTACTGTACGGTCGCACGTCTTCCATCGAACAAGCAGGCTGGAAAACCCGCCGGGTATCGTACGATTCTCGGCGAGTGAGTGGCCTGCTTGTTCGACAACTGACGAACTGGCCGGTGTGCGCACGCACACACTGCCCGTTTGCAAGCCCGCCCCTCATTGCAGTGATAACACAGAGCACGGATGTTTTTCGTCTGCTCTGCGGGCTCTATGGTGAGCTCATGTTCCGTGGTCTCGGGTCCGCCAGAGGAGCGGCAGTGTGGACAGAATCTCCGCTTCTGGTTCCATACAAGTGATCAGATCACTTGAAAACGAGCGGCGGCTCCACACTGTACACTTAGTTCTGCTTGTCCGGAGCGGGGCTAAGTGTACAACAAAACTACTCGCCCGGCGCCTGAAACTGCATGTCCCGGGCGTCTGGCAATAGGAATTCCACACCCCTGCTCAACACTCCGACCCCTCAACTTGCGCTTCTCAGTGTGGGAATTGAAAAATATATACCTTGAAGTTTAGGACGGTGGTAATGCATTTTGTTTACGACCAGACTGCTGATTGCAGGATACTGGAAATCGGTAAATGGTGCCTACCTTGACTGAAACTATCAAAAGTGCATTCCCAATCGAATATGAGAAAGCAATCTCCTATAGAACCCAGTCCCATGGCAGGTTCAAACAACTATGGAAATCTTGGTTGATGTGCCTAAGCCGTCGGAAGCTTGCCCCGGTGTTATTCAATACTATATATGCTCAGTCTACTCCATCCTGACTCTCTTTTAAATCGGTCGCACGGAATCGCACTGACCGATACTTTCCCTTTCTCTCCACTTCTCTATTTCTTTCTGGATTTTGACTATATTGTTGATTTAAAGGGTCTACATAGATGACCCATACCTACCTAAAGCAAAATAACTTGTACGTTATTGGGAATTTAGGTAATTTTTTTAGCTCCTTACTCCTGACGCTAGGCAAAAAACTGGAGACTTGTCAGCAAGTGGGGGGTTTGGCCACCAGCAGGGGCCGCCCCTAGGCTGTCTTTGTCTCTTGTTATGGGCCTAGCGTCCTTCTCCTGCAGGTGGCGATATACCCTACCATTCAGGATCTACGATCTGTTGCCCTGTGTCCTTCAATGAACGGGAGAGAAATATATTCACTAATGTTTGTCATCTATGGTGACCTATCTCTTAATAAAAATGTAGTTTTATTCTTTTAAAGTATAAGGTGAATTTCCTACAATTCTCTCCAATGTTGCAGTTATGGTTGAGAGCTTGCATAGGGTTTAACAAACAAGTTTTACCTGTCTTCTTGTGAGTTTTTTCCAGAACGCCTTTTCTCTTTGCTCTCTCTAGTTGATGCCCGAGATTTCTTGGCTGGTGGACCAGATTCTCTTCCATACTCTTCATCTAAAGAATAAGTAAAATTATTAAAACCTTTAGGGTACATAAACCCTAACCCATTATTTGTTGCCTTTACAAATAATGGGTTAATAAACCCCCCCCAAAAAACAGAACTGATTCCTCCATCAAAGCTTAGGAGCGTCCCGGTCGCAAATTTTACCATGTGTACCCTACTTTAGAGTCTGTTCATTAGGCTTGAAAAAGGATGAATGTGAATGCTTAGTAAAATAGCATTAGGTTGAAAAAAGGAAAGGAAAGGAAAAGAAAAAGGAAGAAGGACACATGAAGGAGGGTGTGTGGAAAGATATCAAAAGCCGATAACACATTGTATGTGGAACATGCAACAGTTGCACCCAATCAAAACCTTAAAGGAGAACTATGGGGGTCAGTGTTTTTCCCCATAGTTCTCCTTAGGGTAACGGGAGGACACAAACTAGCGTCCTCCCGTTACCCTAAGCTCAGTATACCGCGAGCTACAGCTCGCGGTATACTGAGACGCCGCAGCCGATCCCGACGTAGATGACGGGATCCGCCCAGCTGCGTGACAGCTGGCTCTGCCTATCTAGGAGGCAGAGCCAGCTGTACCCGCCCCCTCCCCCGTCCGTTCCGCCAGTCAGCGCTGGCAGATCGGAGCGGGGAGAGGGGAATCCAGCCCCTCCCCGTCACGGCAGAGAGCCGTGACAGGATCGAGAGGCAAGCGAACCCAGTATGTGTTCGCTCACCTCCCGATCTACTGAGCCGACCTGTGACAGTCTCATTGTCAAAGGTCGGCTAGAAGTGAGTGAAAAGCACTCACCTCATAGTTCTCCTTTAAAGTATTATTAAACTCAAACTTTTATCAATTAACCCAGAACAGATATACATTCCCCAGGAAAGCATTATTGGTATTCATATAGTGCCGACAATTTACACAGTGTACATTTCACATCAGTCCCTGCCCTCAAGGAACTTACAATCTAAGGTCCTATTTCATATGCATACATATAAGGGGCAATTTAGAGAGGAGAATCAACCTTCAAGCATGCCTCTGGAGTGTGGGAGGAAAGCGGAGCACAAATCACAGGGAGAACATGCAAACTCCTTGTAAACTTCTTGTAGCTAGTGACCTGGCTGGGATTTAAACCAGGCACCCCCAGTGCTACAAGGCTAACCACTACGCCACTGTGCTGCCCATTTACTTTAAATTTTTGCCCAAACACCTACAATCATCATGTTTCTCAATAGCTGCTTCCAAGTCTCAGCTTTCCTGAACTTCCTGTCCAGTACAAGATCACAAAAGGACAGTGCAGACTTCAGCAATTGTTCATCTACTAGCTTGGAAAAGGGAGAGGGGGCCAGGGAGGAGGGAAGTAGCTTGTTTGCTGTGTCTGTGTAGACACACAACGCTTACTAGCATATACACAAGGGTGACTGCATAGCACTCTGCTTGAGAAAGGAGGCTGGCTAAAACAGGAAGTCAGGACCAGTGCTCAGGAGACCAACTTATTCTAGAGGAAACAAACTTTTAATCAAGGAGCAGCATTCATTGTACGTGATTGCATCAGCATTTCAAATAGTTATATTAAAGTCAAAAGGATTTTAGGCTAAGTTTTATTAAACAATAAGCGACAATACATTTTTTTAAAAAGTGTCTTAAGCCCAGCAGCAAGGAATACAAAAAAAACTTTAAGACTTGCAATATTCAAGTTAGTAAAAAGCAGCTGGTGCGGGAGGGAGGATAGCCTTAAAGTGATACAGAATTCAAAATGGTTTAATGCCATTTTAAATGCAGATCAAAATCACTTACAATGGATGCTGTCTTTTAATGTTTAAAAGTTTTAGTTTCCTGCAGACTCAGCTGGTCCCCTGAGCACTGGCCCCAATATCCTGTAATGGGTGCCTCCTTTCCCTTGCAGGTTCCCATGAAGCCACCCTTGTGGGCGCTAGTATGCTGCATATCTCAACAAACAGGCACAGCATGGCAAGCCCATTCCCCCTATTCCTGCCGTTACTTTCTCCCAGTTGGTAGATGGACAGACTGTGCTCCCTTGTAATCTTGTACTGGATAGGAAGTTCAGGGAAGCCAGGTTAAGAGTTGGAGCTAGGTGTTTGGAAACAATGAGTAAAATGCTTGGGCAAAAATGTAAAGTATTTTGCTGGGCAATCTATAATGGTTTGTTCTGGATTCATTATAAAAAACAATTGAGAATGTAATACTACTTTAACCCCTTCTACACCCAGGATCACATTTCTCATCTACCTTCCCATACTAATCTTGGTTTTTATCCATCCTATGTAAAAAAATCCTATAAAATCATGGGGCATGAGGAGGGGGGTGCAGATGGGACCTGCAATAGAATAGGAGGCACTAAGTTGATAATGGGGATAGCTATTACATTCTATGGTAGGCCCTGTCTTCATAGGCATGACACATATAAAGATTTGAAAAAAAGAATATCCAATCTTAGGAGGGGGTATTAAGGTTGGATTGGCTTTAACCTAAATACACCGCTGCTCCTCGGCCGCTCTATAGCGGCAGATGAAAAGAGAGAATTGACACGGCGATCGCTGCTGTTGAAGGAGTAGAATCAGTGCCGCACTGTAGCTGTCCTTACTCCGGTGTTCTATCAAAAGCTCACTGCACAGAGCTCCAGTGTTTCTGAGCACCAGAGGTAGTTAGAGATCTCAATGAGTTGGAGCTTTCGATAGAACACCGGATCCTGCAGCTTCCTCCGCCCACCTCAGCTGCCATAGGCTGGGAGGAAGACTGCAGAGCTGCTACTGGCTGGAAGGACAGCACGGGAGAAGCAGGACACCTGGGACATGGAGGATACATTGCTTTTTTCTGCATTACACTGCTGGCCTCTGTACTCTGCATCACACCACTGGCCTCTGCACTCTGCATTGTTACTGATCTCTGTTCTCTGTGTCACACCACTGACCTGGCGGAGTTAAGGGCGGGGCACGGTAGGGCGACTGGTGGCGAGTAACTCTTAAGGCCTGGCTAGTAGCTCAGGACTTGAAATTTTGAGCCCTGGCCTAAGGTATATGGCAAAGACCAGGCCGTTTAGAACAAATTTTTGCCTGTTAATGTTAAATTCAATTTTGTGTGTCATTTATTTAAGTAGATCACCTTTATCTGTAGGCACTAAAGATTTAATGCACCTCTGATAAAATTGTGAAAACTGAAAAAAACATAGTGCTCACATTAAAAACACATATTACATACACCCATCTCCACAACAAGACAATGTTAGTTAGCACCTGCTAAACTTTCAATTTAAAATCACATTTACTTTCTAAGATTACAATATAAAAAAGTTACAATTTAGAAACATACCATCAGAATCTTGAAATTGTGAATAATCAACCACTTTTCTGTTCCTGTTAAACGAAAAGAAGCAGAGTTCAGTAACTTTGTTCACAATCACAGAACAACAATGTAGACATGAAAACGACCCCCCCCCCAAAACAAAAAAAAACAAAACACACACACGGCACCTGGGTTTTCACACAAAATACCTACCATGTTGCGCTAGGCTCCAGATTATCCTTACGTGAAAAAATATATTAACAAATGTATCCAACTGTTAAGGAGATTGGACCCAGTGAGAGGTGCCCATAGAGGAACAGAGTAGAGGAATTAGTTGGAGGAAGCCGCTCATGATCTACAGACTATGAAAGCAAAATCTAGCAGATATCTGGTAAGTGCAACATAGAGCACATTTAGGATCATAGTGCAAGAAAGATCAGAAGAGTACCGTATAAATTGAATATCGCTGTGTGACAATATTGACTACCCCTTTCACTGCTCTCTAATCTCATGTGTGGGAAATGTGATCATTCTGTGGAAACACACAAATTGAAATCACAGATTTATTTGGACTATTATGGATATAGCAAAAGTATTTGTTTGATTTATGTTTACACTGTCCTACGTTTCTTGGTTGAAGTTTAATGTCGGATACATTGGTTAATATATTTTTTCACGTAAGGATAATTTGGAGCCTTTCACAACAAAGTCGTTATTTTGTTTGTGTTTTTACTGAGGTTTTGTTGCAGCTGGTAACTTTCACCTCACACAAATCCTAGGGCAGCCTTCACTGATATCAATGGATTTTCACACAGTTGCTCGCATTTCATGTATGAACTTTTTACTTTCATGTAAACACTTAAAAGCATGGTATTTAGTTGCCTCGAAAAAGTACAAAAGCTGTATATTTAAAAACATATGGGAGGGTGGGTTTGGTTAGTGCAAAAAAGGATAAGTGCACTTCTGTTTTAAAGTGCACTTACCCTTTAAAGATAAAACCAGGGCTTATCATTTTTTTTTAAGAACCTAATTTTGGGTTTCTACTCTATGTGTATTCACATAGAACAACTTTCAAGTGTTGATACATAGTTCATCAGTCTTCAAGTAAATTGCAGTCTGATGGCTGTTAATGTTTTCTGTTTAAACAGTCCCGATGCTGGCGACGTACACTGTACGTCGTCAGTCACGAAGGGGTTAAATTGTGTTGCCTTCATCTATCAAGCAGGTGATTATTTCTCAGTTGGGCAAGAGTCAGTGCATACTTTCCTTTGAATAAAGGATTGGGGGATGCTCATCGAACAAGGCCTGTACCCAATAACCACTGCCCAGTTCTTTCATTTTTCTTCTCCCATGCCTCTTGACTGCCCCCTACCCTGAGCCCTCACCTGTCAGCAGCGTCCGATTGGGACCCCCGAGTCACTTAGCACATCTCTTCAGCCACTGGCTGCTTCCTATTCCACAAAAACAATTTATGAAATGCACCCCGGGCCTCATCTTCCACAGCTCCGCTCAAGCCAGAGCGCCCACCTGCCGGCTAGTAGAGTTCCCCTGACATCCCTTGCATTTCAGTACACTGGGATTTGTCCGGACCTGTCATAAGGGGTATATTAAGTGCGTGAGCTGAAGGTGTCACGTTTCTCATTCACATAGCATCACATTACAGTTCAGGCTGACATCTTCAGCACAGTGGGGTCAGAGTACAAACTCCAAGGCCCAATGTCATGTATTAGTTGACTTGAAAATAGCATAAAGAGCTCTCTTGGCTCTGCAGTGAAAAACGCAATGTGAAGAATCTTAATAAAAGCAGGAAAAAAAAAATAAGTCTAGTGGAAATGGTTTTCTTCTCAGGGAGAAAAGACGTACAGTCTCAAAGCGTGAACATAAAATGGAATGTTGGGAGTGGGAAGGGTTATAACTGAATAACAGCTTTTCTTTGACAGTGTGCAGCCTCCTGTAGGAAGCAGTGTGAATCAGTTGTATAATAAATCCTTCTGACCCACTGTCAGAATCAAGAAATTAATCTTCTCCAATGGTTATAGATACAGAGATAAATGGGGGCTTGTTTTAAATATGCCTTCACTACTTGTTTAGAATACTAGTATTTTATGTCCAGACCATAATATTTCTTATTGTTATACACTGAGGGACAGGAATTTATTCTCCTTTGGGTTATACTGCTGCCTACAGGAAGATTTGATGCAGGCAGACAAAATAAACTGTAGGCCAGCAACTCACTCTAGCATGCCTCAGTTTTGTAACCAATGTGTTCGAGCATTAACATAGGAACGGGACCAGTGTTCCTCAGTGGACTCTCAAAAAGAAAATAGAATACAAAAATCCTATTTTCATACTTGGTCTTATTGAGACACTAATTTATTAACTTTAGAAATGTTCAAAAACAGTCCAACTGAGGGGTGGGCAAGAGAGGAAACAAAACACCAACAGGCCCTTGCGTCTTGCAAATCTGGGAAACAGTAGGCCGATGACAAAAAAAAATAAAAAAGCCTCAAAAGATTTAGTATGTCTTATTTTAGGCATTTAAATAGCACTGTCAATTTACACAGCGCTTTACATACTATTCATTCACATAGGTCCTTGCCCTAAGGGAGCTTGCAATCAAAAGGTTCCTATCTCATATACACATGTACTAAATGTCAGTTGCACAGGAGTCAGCTAAACCACCAACATATCTTTGGAGTGTGGGACGAAACCAACATGTTCTGGATGACACACATGCAAGCACAGGGAGAACATGCAAACTCCATGCAGATAGTGTCCTGGCTGAACCTCAATTCAAACCAGGGTTCTCCTGTAAGCCTGCAAGGCTAAACACAAGCAATTGTGCGGTCCTTCAATTTGACAGAAAAAGGATAGGGCCCAATCCTTGACGGACAATAAGCTTGGAAGACCGTCTGTGCCACCTAGAGATGGTGGAATAAGAAGCTGGTGCACCCCTACGGGGAGCATCTAGGATGTCAAAGGGAATCAGTTTTTGGCAAATCAAGTTTACCGCTAAAACAGGGTGAAGAGCAGGACCTGTTAGCAAGAACAAGCCTCCATCTACTTATCGGTGGGGTTTTTAAAGACAGGAGCGTCTTTGACCAGGATGGTGGTATTTGAGTTAAGGCACACTACAAAGACCCAAAGGGAGAAGACCTCTTAACAAAATCCTCTTCAAATGGGTACAAGGCTAATAAATGCTTGGAGGGAGCATTCTGTCCGGTTGTCTCCAGTCTGCATAAGGTAAGACTAGGAACAGTGGGAGCACTGGAAAGATCTGGACAGTTCTTAGAACTCTCAAGAACCCGAGACTAGGAAAAGCATTGGTGGAAGCAATATGCGGATTCTCTAGCTATGCAAAGTGGTGCACAGAGTATTAAAGAAAAAAAAAAAATCACCACACCTTCAATTTGGCAGTGGTGGCAAACTGCGACTTCTCAAAGGCTAGTTTCTGCAGTAGGACAGGCAGACAATGAATCAGTCTCAGTGGTTGAATTGTTGGACAGAAGTTAAATCCTCCTTGGACAAAGCAGCCATGACCCCCTCCATCTGCTCACTGAGCATGCAAACCAGCTTGGAACAGCCACTGCAGTGTGTGCAAGTCAGTGAGAACCCCACCCTGATTGACCTGGGGGGCCAGGTCAGTCAGGATCCCCAGGCCTCCAGTGTGGGAAAGGGGAATAAGGCACATAGGGACACACTGTGCCACTGCAGTGGGAGCAGATTGGGAGGGGGGCACCCCTTGCAGGGAGCAGGACAACAGCATGTTATTTTGAAACACACAGGGGGATCTCCATCTGGAGTCACTCACGCCTCGTAGGATGGTTGCCGACCCTTCAATTATGGAAGGAAACCTAGGCTATGCCAATCTCCAGGATTCACTGTCCCTGGTTCTGAGACCGCATCGCATGGGATGCCCCTGCAACTTGCATAATGGCCTGAAGTAAAGCAATAAACGTTGATGTTTCTCCTGTTCGGCCGAAGGAAACAAAACAAAGAAAAACTTAGGTGGGTTTGAAGGAGTGTCTTTTTATCTAATGTGGATGGTGTTTCCTGTTTCAGGAGGGCAGAGCCATCTCTCTCATTGGCTGTCCTGGAAGATGAGTGGGGAAAACTTAGCATCCTCCTAAGAAACTATCAAAAACTGCGGCATGTTGGGAGGAGGAGGTGTTATACTAGGCTGTTATTCAAGCTCATAAAATCTACAATCGGCAGAGGCAAAGGGTGAGGCCTGTATAGGAACCTGTTGCAGGACGTCAGATTCCCCTTGATGTGATTATACATGTACAACAGTTACAAGCTACAATTTATTGTTTCCTACTTAAGGTCATCTTGTATGAGACTTTGTTGCTGTTATCCGACTGACTATATCCTCGATCAGTGAGATCCATCACAAGGGGAACATTTTCCTGCCGACAATTATATTGAGTTAATTGCAGCTGTCCTTAAATCTTCTGTTGAAGAAGTAATCTTTGCAACTTGGAGAGTGAGCACAGTGAAATAACACTCAAAACACAATCGATCACAGGCAATCTGTATGTAGCTAAACATGGACTTTAAATCTATCCACTAAACGGCTTTCTCTGAGGGATGATGTTCTTATATACACTTTTATGGAGAATTAAGAACCAATAATCACCCACTTAGACATCATTCTAGTCTGAGGACCTATGAATATGGCAATTTTGAGTCTACTGTATTTCTGATGACATTACTTCAGTATAATTCACTCATTGTTTAGAAAGGACTGCATTTTTTTCAATCAATTGATGAATCCACTTTCATAACCAATGTCAGTTTGACTAGCAGATAATGTACTGGGGGATCTACTCTATGAACCCTAATATTTTCTCCAGTATAGATGATTACAGCCCGTCTGTATGTATGCATGTGAGGAATCATGACAACATTGTCAATCTCTTAGATGTGACATGGATATGGTGCAATATTTATACAGATCATTTCTGATATATAATTTTTTGAATAAAGATACTTTTTTGACTAACTTTGTTGATCGGTCTTTAGTAACGTCTTCTAGCTTGTGCAACATCTTGTACAAACGAGCTTACCT